CTGGTGTTCATATCTTTTGCTTTTTCTCTTTCTTTCTTACTTACCTACTTATTTATGGTACTAGGGATTGAATCAAGGCCCTTGCACATGTGAAGCAAACACCACCACTGAACTACATCCGCAGCCCTGACTGATTGATTAATTGATAGATACTGGAGATTGAACCCAAGGACACTTTAACACTAAACTACAATCCCAGTCCTTTCTTTTTTGAGACAGGGTCTCACTAAGTTGCTGAGGCTGGCCTTGAACTTGAGATCCTCCTACCTCAGCCTCCCAAGTAGCTGGGATTACAGGTATGTGCTCCCATGCCCAGCTGGTATCAGTAATTCTGAGGGAATTGGGGAGAGGAGAGTTGGCAACCTGGAAGCAACCAAAAGTTTCAGGATGACAAGAGCATCTTGCACTCTCCAGACTAGTGAGCTTGGTGCAGTTCTCATGAAAATTCTGCACTAGATGATTCAGCAAGGAGCTTCAGACATTTTGGGAACAGTGAGCCCTGAGAATCAGAAAATAAGGCTTTGGGAAGTGCTTACCTGCCTGGAAGACAGAAGAAGTCTTTTGGATTCACATACACAGAGTTTAGAAAGACATCTTGAAAATGCTGTGACATCATTATTGAAGGGAAAGTGAGGAACGAGAGATGGGTAAGCGAGAAATGAAAAACAGACCAGGCAGCGATAAACATAAGAGTTTATTTGTCAGAGATGACAAATAAAGGCACATCTCTCTATAGCAGAGAAAGGCAAAACAGGCTTGGGTTCCAGGACTTTTATGGGGCAGGCTCAGAAACCAGAGCCAGGCGGGTCCTAATGCAGGTAGTCGGGGGTTATGTTGGTATAAGGGAGTAGTGAGCCTTTCTCAGAAGGCCCTTGGGCAGGAAAGTGAAACTTTTTCCTTAAAATGGTGGCTGTCACTTAAGATGACCATCCAGATGCTAAGCAACAACCTTAAAATTATAAGCAACACAGAAGTGTCCAGAGAGCATCCAGGAGGGTGAGAGACTGGTGATGGGAAGGTTGGGTTGATTTATAATTGGTTGAATGAGGATACCCAAAGAGTAATGATGTCAGTCTGTCAGGCTATCTGCCAGCCCTGGCCTGTTTACTATTTAATCAAAGCCTAGGAAGAGAACATCGATGGCAAGTTTATCAGTTTTGTCAGTGATGTGAAGTCAGGAAAGAATGCCAATATGATGGATGCCAGAGTCAGGTTCAGAATTCTCTGAACTGCTTGCAACCCTAGCCAAATAACAGAGTTCTACTCTTAGCTGCAAATAATCAACAGTTCATAGTAGCTGGGGGAGAAAAGGTCTAAGGGCAACCCATGGGAGAAAGCCTGAGGGAGATTTCATTGACTGAGGAAGTGCAATATGAGTTGGTAGTTTGATGAAGTTTCAAAGAATAGACAATTTGATGACAGTTTTAATAGAAATAAAGTGTCCCAAACAAGAGTGCCCAGGGCCTCTGTGATCTGTTCTGGTCAGACCACATACTGTATTTATTTCCACACACCACACTTCACTTCCAGACATGACACTCTAGCTTTGACAAGCTAAAATGAATCCAAGGGAGGGTGACTTGAATGAATGGAGGATTTCAGAACCTTGTCAAGAAATGTAGTAGAAAGTTGGGGCCACAGATCCTAGAAAAAAAAAACTGTTGATGGGATGTGAGAGCAGCCTTGGGGATTCAAAAGGCTGTCATGGAAAGATGGATTAAACTACTGGGCAACTTGAAGGCCAGTGGTTTGAGAATTGCAGAGAGGCAGACTGTGCCCTGTAGAAACAAGATGGCTGAACCAGCTCCTCCTTCAGTGGAACAAAGGCACAAGGGGTCTTGTTGGCCTGTAGTTAGCCTTCCAGAAGCACTAATGGCCTATAGTGTTCACTCCAGGAGTCAGGAGCCTTTTCAGGCCCCATCTCTCCTAAGCTCAGGGAAATTGACCTAGCTTGTGACAGTTGGACTGAGTCCTGGAGAAAGGCAAACAAGTTCCTATAAGTTGTGGACATTCTGGCAGGAGGAGCAGAGAGACTTGAGAGGCAGTCAGCTGTATTTTGAGGACCTCCTATATCCCAGGCACTATCCAAGGACTTACACAAGTCTTCTCATTTAATCAATATGATGACTCTACTGTTATTTACTCCCATCAAAGATAACAAATCTTGGGCTGGGAATATAGCTCAGTTGGTACAGTGCTTGCCTCATATGCACAAGGCCATGGGTTCAGTCCCCAGCATCACACACACACACACACAAAAAAAATCTTAGAGAAAGTTTCAGTCAGTTACCCAAGGACTCAAATCCAGAACATAAGCACTTCGAGGGAGGCCCCAGTGGGTCTGGGTCATGCCATCTCAGGAGCCCCTCCCTCTCTCTTCCGCCCCCAAAGCTCTGCCTTCTCCTCTACTGGGAACTCAGGGAGAAAACAGCCCGGCTGAAAAATTAGGCCATGCTGCCGAGCACACTACTTATTTTTTTATGACTAAGATTAAGCTGACAACCATGCAAAACATTGCAAACCTGTGTCGACTGCAGATTTAATACCTCACCCAGCCCACACAAATAATTCATGCTTCTGCATCGATGTCCAGAAAAAACAAATCAGCAAAAAGCTGGGCTCCTGCGTGTGTATAGAGCAGCCGCCTTTCCATTGAAGCAGCGTGCCGGAAATACCCAAGCTCCAGGACTGCAGATCTAGCGTTTTGCAATTTTTTTTTTCTTTTAAAAGATTAAAGTACGGTTTTTCAAATGATTGAAGGTTGGTGGGAGGTGTAAATGTGGGCACTTGTCACATTAATTCTTCAGATGATTAAGTTCTTTTCCATTTCTTTAAAGCTGTTTGCAGTTGGGTTTGATGTCCTCGTTCCGGGTGAGTGTGTTGTGGCAGTAACCAAGGTGACTTTAGCTGACTTTCAACAATTTATTTTTCCCTCCAGCTTGAGATGTCTCTAGCCCTGTGTGTTGTTGATTCTTCTCCCACCAGCCCCCTTCCACCTCCCATTGCTGTTCCTCAGCACTTTTGCCTGTGGGCCCTGCCCTAGGGCTAGGCCTCAGCCCCTCTGCAGAATGAGCATGGTAGTGCTCCTGGATATAAGAACCTGTCAGATAGCACAGTCACACCCTAGTTTTTCCACTTAAACTCACTCTGTGGGGCTGGGGAGAATGCTTACCCATCATGCACAGAGTCCTAGGTTTAATCCCCAAAACCATAAAAAATAAAAATAAAGGATTAAACTCCCTATGTGAAACTCGGGCTTGTCACCTCAACTCATCTGTAAAAGGGTTAATAGAACCTGCCTTAGGGAGTAAACCTATGGCACAGAGAAAGTACCCAGCAGATTGGAGGAGCTGCTGCTGTTTCCTGCCTTCTGTTCTTGTTTGGACCCAGAGGGCACTGGTGTCACCTCTGAGCCCATCAGTAGTGCCTGACTGAGTTGTGGTATTTAGTGTTACTCTCCTCAAAAGGGAGGTGTAGCAGCTCTGGTGGAGGGAAAGAGTTAGTTGGTCAGAAGTCCAGGGTTCCCAAGTTGGCCTGTCATAGACCAGCTCTGTTGCCTTGGATGCCTTGCTGTTCCTTTTTTGAAAAGGAAAGAGATAGATTAAACAATCTTGAGTTTCCTTCCAGTCCTGAAATACCATGACCCTCTTGTTCATAGCTTTTGTCTCCTTCACAGGTCTAGCTCTTGCCAAGGGGAAAGGCCATTTCAAGTGGCTTTGGGAAGCCAGAGGAAGTGATGGCTTTTGTGAAAGAGCAGTCAAATCTGGGGAAGGATCCTCACATAGAAGGAGAAGACTCAGGAGGGAGCAATTCTAAGCACTGCCTCAGCAGGGCCCTTGCTGTCCAGTGCTGGCCTCACACCCTTGCCCCCGGGAGGACTCTGCCTTTGGCGTCTCATTGGCTGCAGGCCCCAGGGCTCAGCCTCCAGTGTGTGAGGAGGTCAGGCCTGGCCTCTTCCTCTCTTCAGAGGCTGTCTAGCCCAGACATCCTGGGTGGCTCCTGCCTGCTGCTTGAATGATAAATAACTGGAGTTTCTCACCAAGAACTTTGATGGACACTTGGGGAATTGTTTTGAGATTCACAGCCCAAACCAGAATCCGGCCTTTTGAATGGGATCAGTGGGTGACCCTCATTTCCTGCTGAGGCAGATTTGAAAGGTTGTCAGTAGGGGCAGCTGAATTTGAAAGAGCAAATCTTGGAATGCAAAGAGACCTGGTGGCCTAGCAGTGGGACAAGCTGTTGGTAGGGAGCTGCACAGAAGGAGAATGAGACAGCAGTGATAGCTTACTGGGGTTGGCCACAGGGGTCCTTGAAGCTTACCAGGGTAGGGGTCCAGTCCTACACAGTGGGCAGCCAAGCCTAGTGGCCTGAGTCCCAAGAGCCCAGCTCCCACCCCTCAGTGAGGTTTGTGTTACTTCCTGGTTAAATGAAGAAAATATGCGTCACTTCAGTGCCTGGCCATTAGTAGGAATAGGCATGCTCACAGTCTTTTCAGGGTCAGCTGGATGGAAGCTCTTGGAGCCAGATCTTGGGGAGCTCTCCCATGTCAGCCTTGGGAACAAGGGGTCTCAGGCCCCACAGCAGGGGAGAGGGCCCCCTACTGATCTCACAGATTAAAGCAAAACCCTGTGGCATAAATTTTAGAGTATTGTTGGCCAATGATACAGGCTGTAGAAACAGATCTACCTGAGACAGATGCCAACTCCACCCCCATTACTGGCTGTGCAACCTGGGGCAAGTTACTTAACCTCCCTGGTCCTAGTTTCTTATCTGTAAGAGAGATAGTGCCCACCTCATGGGAGTATCACAAGGAGTAGCCAGTCAATGGAAGTACTTGGCACAGTGACTGGCACTTGGCAAGCACAAATTGAAGGGTGGCTGCTATAATTGTATCAGGCACCATGATTCGTATTAATCAGCAACATAGCCAGAAACTCCCATCTTGCTCCTCCCTGTGGTTTTCACCATGTACTAAACCTGTTCCCATGCTTGTTTCACAGGAGCCGCAAAGACAGCCTGGAAAGTGACAGCTCCACGACCATTATTCCCCACGAGCTCATCCGCACACGACAACTTGAGAGTGTACATCTGAAATTCAACCAGGAGTCAGGAGCTCTCATTCCTCTCTGCCTAAGGTGAGCCAAGATTGTTCCACAATGGAGCCACCCCCTCTCCCCCCAACACGCAACCTGGCTTTGGGGCCATTTCAGAGCCTCCCAAATCTCTCTCCCCCAACATGCGCCCCACCCCCAGGGGGGGCCTGGTACCACTTCACCTCCATCCCTCAAGACCTATGCTTGCTGTTTTACCCAGCAAGGCACCTGTAGGAAGCCCGCCGGCATACCTGACTAGAGTCTGGGAATAGGAAGGGAGGAAAACTGCTCAGGCAGATCTTGGCTGCTTTGGGGTCCCCAGGATCACATATAGGTCCAAGATCTACTTGAGCAGTTTTCCTCCCTATATGTGATCCTGGGGACCCCAAACCAGCCATCAATCCCCGTGTCACTGGGTCATTCTCCCTATGGAAACCTCTAGGCAGCTTAGGTTGTAAGAAGTCTGCAAGCAGTGGGGGGCCAGTTGGCCACATAAATTGTCCCGAGAGGAAGGCTCTCTTCTGTATCTTAGCGTAGAGCAGTGGCAGGCTCCAGTGAGCAAAGGACTATGGCCAAAGCCGCAAGCAATCTCTGGCTGCTTGGTTGACAGACCATTCTCATTAGCAAGTTTCAGAGTCTGAGAATCCACAGGGAATAGGTGCTGAAGAACTCTCCTTTATCCAGGAATTGTTCTTCAGCCTTGCCCTCTTTAGGGAGTTTTAGTAACTAAGGGAGTCTCAGATGCCCCCTGCCATCCCACAAGCCTGGGGTCAGGGATGACTGAGTCACCAGTAGCATTGGGTTGCCAGGGGGAGGATTCTGGTGGGTTCTTCCTGCTTGCTGCCTTTCCCATGAAAAACTCTTCAGTTCTTCATACCCAATGACCAGCCCAGCAGACTCCTTGAGAGACCAGGAAGCCCAGCTGTGTCTCTTCTGCTGCTGTTCAGATCAGAAACCCAGTCTTGTAGCCAGAAGTCAGCTGATTATGTTGAGCTGAATCTCTTACAGCTGGCCTCATCTGCAGTCCTCTGGCCTTCCACCCTCACTTTGCTAGCAGGAGAGGCAACAAGAATCACTCTAACTTGGAGGACAGTGACAAGGAAGAAGGAGTTGCATGGTTTGGATCCTCCACACTATCCCTGAAGCCTGGGGAAGGAGTTTGGAGGGTGGCCAACTTTGGCCAGCCACCCTGGGCAGCAGGGCAAAGACTGCTTGATCAGAGTGAACAGGACCCGGCAGGGCCCACTGCCAGATTCCCAATAATTTCCTCCTTCGCTATTTCTTTGGTACAGGCTTAAGGCCGTTAGACTGGTGAAGGGTTAATGTAAGGCAGCCTAAGAGAGTAAAGAGCTTTGCCCCCTAAAAGTTGTCACTGCCTCCCCTTCCCCCGGTATATTTTCAGACTGGGGATTAAGGGTGACTTCTTGTGGCTCCCTCAGAGTGACCCTACTTGGCTTCATTAATAAATCAATCAACAAATAAATAAATAAATAAAGATGTGCTTGTTGCCTTTAAACCAGCTGTTTAAATGTTACAGGAAAGCCCAGGAGCAGGTGGAAAATTCTGCCCTGGACACTGAATTGTCTTTCTTGCTGGGAAAGCCTGGTACCACTTCACCTCCATCCCTCAAGCAAAGGAGGACATGACTCCCTCTTCCTTCTGGGTATAACCCTGGGCATATTGCTCACTTTCCTCTCTAGCCTCACCATTCCCACCAGTATGTGAGGAGTTGGAATCTATCACCGCTGAGGCCCTTTGAACTCTGATTTAGAGTTGTCTCTGCTGGTTGAGCACTTCAGGAGGAAGGCTTTATAGAACTGGTGAAGGAGGCTTCTCTTTGAAGGTGCTATGATGAGTGGTTTGGTTATGGTCCCCTGTTGGTGGGCAGGTGGGCCATCAGGAGGGCGTTTGTCAGGCATCCTGCCCCAGAAAGCATAGCCTCATCGTCCCAGAACTTTGACCAAGCCTGTTGTGCTTCAGGCTGTTTCTAGGCCCAGCTCCTCATTGTCTCCATGTTCCCATCCCCAGGGGCAGGCTCCTGCATGGACGGCACTTTACATATAAAAGTATCACGGGTGATATGGCCATCACATTTGTCTCCACTGGAGTAGAAGGTGCCTTTGCCACTGAGGAGCATCCTTACGCAGCTCATGGACCCTGGTTACAAGTGAGAAGGCTTTTTTTCTTCTCCCTATCTTCTTCCCGTAGGCTATTCCCTTGGCTACCTGCCCTCCCCTCCCTTGGCCGCTCTTCCTGAGCAGCTGGTTATAAGATGCCTCTTGGATTCAGGGCCTGAGGCCTTTGTGTGGTCATGAGTGTGGATGCTGCTGCCCATCTCAGCAGCTGCAGGGGCACTTCCTGGCCTCCTATGAGACACAAGTGATCACTCTCCAGGCCCTGGCCATTGGTGATTCTGGTTCCTATGGAAATCCAGGTGTGAGGAATATGACTTCCCCTACCCTGGGCAAGATTAAAGTACGGGAAACCAAGAGTGAAGCAAGATGGAGGACATATGGAAGTCACTATCAGCAGTTATATGAAAATCTTATGAGAATTCATGGGAAGTAGGGCTGAAGTTGTGGCTCAGCAGTAGAGCACTTGCCTAGCATGTGTAAAGCCCTGGGTTCAATTCTCAGCACCACATAAAAATGAATAAATAAAATAAAGGTATCATGTCCAACCATAACTAAAAATAAATAAATATTTAAAAAATTTTAAAAAAATAATTCATAGGGAGTGGTTATCTGTGCCCAGACTTGGGGCTGGGATGGGCAGGCCAGAGTCTCCTCCCATCAGTCAACTTTCCTGTTTCTCCTGTGGAAACACAGTTTAAACAGAAACCTGCTGGCTTGTCCAGAGTGCTTATTCTTTTTTGCTCTTCTGGATGAAGGAAACTTTAAGAGCTGATACCTAGCAGGGTGGTGGGGCTAACTAAGAGTCATCAGCCTTCTTCCAGCATCCACTCTGACCAGGTCTCTAAGAGGTATTGTGTCTGGTGCTTCATATTCCTTTTGGGGCTTTGTTTGCTTTGAGGGTGGTGGTGGGGTGAATACTTTCCCTTATCTTTCTCAGGAATATCAAGAAAAGGAGTTTTTGGGCTAGGGAATGGCAGAGTACTTGCCTAGCATGCCGGAAGCCCTGAGTTCAATCCCCCAGCACTGCCAAAGAAATAAAAATATGGAAAGGGATCTGACCCTAATCTAAAAGGTGCCCAAAACTTGTTTGTAGTGTGTTAGAGAGAACATGGGGGAATTACAGTAGATAGGAAGAGAATTTTGCTGGGTTTTTTGGGTTTAACCCAGCTGGGGGTCTGTAATATTCTTAATATGGGCATGTTTTTGTCCACGTGTGTCTGCTTGCAGCAGAATTCCTCCTCCTTCAGGCTTGCCCCCACCCCCATCACCAAAATCCTAACCTTTAATTAAAACAAACAGCAAACAAAGGACACCAACCGTACTCCCTAGACTTAGCTGAGGTAGAAATGGAAGCTAGTGCTTTAGGGATATTGTGTTCCATAAATTATCTTGCCTTTTTCCACTGTTGTTATTACATTGTTTCATAACAAAATTACTTTGAACCATAAAGTTATAAATACATTTTAAAAGTCCCACTTGGTAACATTAGATTTCTGTCCATGTGGTGTTGATAGTTACTGTAGCAAAAGCTCTGAAGTGTAACATTTGAAATTAGCCCAGCACAAGTGGAAAAGGCCTCCTGCTGCCCCCACGCCCCACCCCCACCCATGTCCCAGGCTGCCACTGCTGCCTCCGCTGAGAGCAGGAGGGAACAGGCCTGTTCTCTGGGCAGAGCTGGTAGCTGGTAAGTTGAGAGGTGGGGCCTATGCAGGAGACCCCAACCCCTGAGAGTTCATAGGTTGTCATTCCAGCAGATGATGTCATGCTGGCAGGTCTTGACAGAAGTGTTCTCATAGTGCATGTGCCTGTATTGAAGGTTTTAGATATTTTGTTTGGGGAAAATAGAGTCTGGGGTCTCTCCAAACCCAAGAAGAAAGTCCACCCAGTTTGTTTGGTATCCTCAAAACTTAACTTGACCTTGTTCTGCCATCCCCCCTTGGAATGTCTTCTTGCCCTGAGAACTAAGCTGGTCAGCCTCTCTAGTTTTTCGGCAGCCCAGGAAGTTTGATCCCCAAAGGACTCTGCAGGTGACCACAAGACCCCTCAGTCATCATAGAAAGCTTTCCAGGCCCCACCTAACTCCAAAGCCTCTGATCCCATGGCTATTGGCATTCCCACTCCCAACACCACAACCCCCTCACTCCCTGGCAGCCCCTCAGTGAGCCTGGACTCTCAGCACCCGCTGACTCCCAGCACATGGTCCCCTCCTGTGGGCTGTTGCCTGGGGAACCGGGAAGCGGTGGGAACGAGCCGCTGGCCTCGGCATGTTTCAATAAAGTTGCTGTGCTGGGAGCTGCTTAATCAAAGGCCTGTGTTATGGGCTCATTAGTGTGGTCCACCACAGGCCAGCTCACAGGAGAGCTCCTGGGAAGGCTGGCCGAGGCCCCACTCCCGAGGCACGCACCCTTGATCACCAAGGGGTTTCTCAGGCCCTTTGCAAGGAGCCCTGGGAAACCCTCCGACCCTGCCCCCAGCCAGCCGGATTCTCAGCAGTGGAGCCAACACCCACACCAGCCCTCCTCCCGTCCCGGCAAGCAGTCAGCATTTTCTGTGTCTGACTGCCAGCCCACTTTCCCCTTTAGGGTCTTGCCTTGTGGTCACAGGCAGCTCTCTAGCTTGTGGGAATCTGGGCTTGTAATGACTTGTGGGCCTCTCAGGGGTCTAACTATATTCCCAGGAGTCCAAAGCCTCCTGGAGCCCTGGAGTTAGACTTTCAGTCACAGGTGAGGCCACCAAGGGCCCCAGGACCTCCAGGGGGAGGGAGACCCCAGCTCAGAGGCCTGCCCTTGTTCCTTGCAGGCATTTCTCACTTATGTTCCCAGAGTTTGGGGTGTCTCCATGGGTCTTGTATGCCCAGGTCTGTTGGTGTAGAGAAGCAGGAAAGAGCTGAATGTAGTAGACCCAGGAAGTAGAGAAACCCAGGCTTCTGTTCTCCTGGCTGTTGCTTTCCCTGTAGGTCCCAGCTGAAGCAGGAGGGGTGGGATGACTTTCTTGCATCAGCCATCAACAGCCTTGGAAGTAGTTACTCCCAGCCTTGGCACCTTGCTCTGGCTACCCGCCCAGGCCTGTTATCTCTTGGGGGAAAAGCAAGGCAGACATCATGCATAGGGAAAGAATGACAAAGAAAAGGCTGAGAAGAAAAGTCAGAAGATTAGGGAACCTGAGCCTCTTTCCAGATCTTGTGGAGTGGCCCCAGACAGTCCTCCACATCCACTTTCTCCTGGGTCGGCACCTACTCCCCCATATTCAACATCTCAGGGTAACCCAGTGCCAGGGAAGTTAGGGCCCTGGTACACTGAAGAATAGGATGTGGGCAGTACCAGTTGGGTGCGGTGCATTAGGGGGAGCCCCAGAGGCAGGAGTCAGTTGAATCTCTGCACTCTTCTCATTTTCTGGAGAAGGCACTTGGCATTGTTTGCCCTACTTTGCTTTTTCATCCTTGTTGAGATTGGATGGAAAATGTATCAGCCAACTGTGAAGCTTTGCAGGAGAGTCTTCAGACCCTGGCAGGGAGGCCTTGCCAAAGTCTTCTCCTGCCCCTTTATCTCCCAGCATCCTCTCACTCTTATGGCTTGAGCAAGCTTCTCCCTTGGCCTTTTGATGTTGGGATGTTGGTTTTCTAAGAGTGCAGTCCAGTGCCAAATTGTTCCTTCCTAGCCAGGGCAGTGTGAAAAGGAGAAGTTTCAGTCCAGAGGTCACAGAGGGGTCATATCACCAGATATAAGAATATTTTTTTAGGTGCTGCAGTGCTTTCTCAGCTGTGCAGTATCTGACTGTTCACCCAGGTGATGCCCCCAGCCCTAGCCACTCCCTAGCAGCCCCAGTGAGAGGCCCCAGTCTTGGGAGAAGCCGCCCAGCAGCTGTTTTCAAGTGGCCTCTGCTGCTCCCAACCAAGTTTGAGGAATTACTACTGAGCTCTCCCCGTTACCCAAAGACAAGCTCCTCACATCCTAAATTCTCCTGCTATTTGGATGCTGTATGGAAGCCAACTTGGGAATCCCCTGCTCAAACTTACGGGATTCCTCTTTGATGTGTACTGCTTCTCCTTCCACTGGTGGACCTGGCCACACCTCTTCTCCCTGGAGACCTTTGCTTAGGCTGTTGCAGAGACCTATTATCCAGGGGCATACCTGTTGAGTTTTAAAGCCCAGCTATATGCTTGGGGAAGGTACCTCTCTTGCAGTAGAGAACCATAATGCCCAACTGTGTCCCCAGGAACTAACAGCCAGAACAGAAGAGTCAGCTTGCTTCTGACCACCAAAGCCAACTTCTCACCACCCACCAAGAACAGGAAATGAATGAGTGAGGCCTACTGTGCCCCCACTGTCTGCAAGCACATACCTCTGCCTCCTCCCAGTGTGTGTGTGTGTGTGTGTGTGTGTGTGTGTGTGTGTGTGTGTGAGGTTGGGGGGGAACCTACAGGCTGTTTCCTGGCTTTTGTCTGGCCTGGGGGGGAAGGGTCACAACAGACAGGACTGCTTACTTGTCCCTACCTCCTCCACTGCCATTGTGGGTGCCAGAGCAATTCCTTGGCAGGCCTTGCCACTGAAAACAACATGTTTCCTTCCCCAAAAGAAGGAAAGGGAGGGAAGAGAAAGCAAAACTTGTTGGGAAGCAAGAACAACGTGTCAACATGAAGAGCAAACAAGGCCCTGGACAAAGTGCTAATTGTCACACCAAGGGGAAGGAATGGGCATTGTCAGCCACTCAGAAATATCATTGACCTCAAAAATATTATTGACCACAGACGTTTGAATCAGCATCAGATCTGCAGCAGCTGGGCCCCTGCCTGCAGCACAGTCGGGCCTGCCCAGGACAGGCATTAACAAAAGATCACTTTTCAGGTTCCTTTCTGGAACTTGCTGGGGCCTGGGGAATTGATAGGTTGTTGACAATCTTCCCTCACCACCAACCAGCCAGACTGTCCTAAGGCACTTGGTGTGAGCCCACTGGAGTAAAGTACTGGCGTAGATTCCTCACCCCCTCCCTGGCCAAAGATGCCAGTGGGGAGAGAGAAGCCATTATTCTCACAGCTCAGCCAGTTAAATGGTGGTAAAGCCTTGCCCAAACCCCTTTCCCTCTGTGCCTATTTCCTAGCACTCCCTCCACCTTGATCTCCTGAGGTATCTTTTTAAAATGCAGATGCTATCCAGGTACAGTGACATGAGACTGTAAGGAATTACAAGTTTGAGGCCAGCCTGGTCAATTTAGTGAGACCCTATCTCAAAATTTTAACAAAAGAAGAAGGATTGGGAATATAGCTGAGTGGTAGCGCACTTGCCCAGCATGTACAATCTCCTAGATTCAATCCCCGCTACTGAAAAAAAAGAAAATGAAGATGCCTTGGCCTTGCCCTGGGCATTCTGATTCAGGAGGACTTGGTGTCTAACATCTCCATATTTTCAAAAGCCTCACAGGGGCCTTTATAGTGGCTCTCACGCTCATTCACCTATAATCCCAGCAGCTGGGGAGGCTGAGGCAAGAGGTTCATGAATTCAAAGCCAGCCTTAGCAATTTAGCAAGGCCCTAAGCAATACAGTGAGACCCTGTCTCTAAATAAAATATAAGAAAGGACTGGGGATGTGGCTCAATGGCCGAGTGCCCCTGAGTTCAATCCCTAGTACTGCCCCCACCAAAAAAAAAAAAAAGCCTTACAGGAAAGTATGCCTCTCATTCAAGGGTCACCTCACTCCATGGGCAGTTTGTACACAAACCTAAATGTTTTATGTGTGGCTCTTCATGAGTGCAAATATAAAAGGGTGAAGTTATCATTCTTGTCATTATTACTTCTGCTGTTTTCTAGGCTAGCAGAAATATAGGGACTCAACCAGGCTAGCCTAAAAATTTGCCCTACTGGATCCACTTGGAAACCATCTTGGGGCATGGTTTGCTTTCCTTTCCAGATGTATAGCCTGGATTTTTAACAGCTGCATGTCTGTAATACTTTGGGTTCCAGTCCTGTTGAACTGAGGGTGGTCAGGAGCTGTGTGGCTGGCTAGGGCTGGTATTACTAGTTTTCTGGGCCACTGGTAGAAGCCAAGGTGACCTTCACCTCCCCCATCAGAGGAGAGAGAGACCAGCCCTAAGTATACAGGTTTCTAAGGTTGGGGTAAAAAAGCATCCTCTTGTCTTGGAGATGAGAGTTTCATCCTATGCAGGATCATTTTAGGATTCCCTGAGAAGATTCAGGTCAAACACATAATAGGGGAGTCACTGCTATTGGTCATTTTAACTGTCACTGTCATAGCCATTCCCATTATTATTTGTGGCAGAGCCAGGCAGCTCCATGGGGACCCAGAGAGCTTCAGGTGCTCCAAGCCCCAGACCTTCACAGACTCTTCCCACAGCTACATCACAACGGTGAGTCTGTTCCTCGTGAGAGCTCCCAGGAGCTGCTCCATCATAGCTGTCTATCTCCAGTGTCCTGTTGATAAGATCTGTTAACATTCTCAGCTCTAGCTCTGAAATATACAAAGAACAGGGCCTGCTTGTTCAATCCAAGCTTCTAAGGTTTAACTCCCAAAGGAAATTAAATTAGGTGCCTGGAGCTATGACAGTCTGTCGTGTTTCTTTGCAGAGAATGTCACCCTTAATATCATGTGGATCTCATGTATAATTTTTCCCCTTTAATTTTTTTTAAAAATAATGTGAAGTTTCCAACAGAAACCAACAAATCACCAGAAGTGAAAATGGAGGAGTGACTAGAATTTGTCCTCCTTTCGAGTCTTGCCTTCCCTTCCCCCATCGAGTACAAAATAAGTCCACACACAGATGGTGCAGCGTTTGATGGTGGCTCTGCTAAAAGCTTCCATAGTTTACCCTTTCCCAGCACCAGTTCCAGACCTTTGTCAGTGCTATTGGCATTACCTTTCCTGTTGTTGAGAAACAATTCCCTTTGGAGTCTCACTGGGTAGCCACCATCTCTGTAACCCTCCCCATGCCCCATTTCACCCTAGCACTAGTTATAGGCCCAGACCTAGTGACCGCTCTAGCAGAAAGCCCCTCCCTCAAATATTTATGGGTTAGAAGTGAACCCAGCTTGGCCCAGACTGGAGCCATTGTATTGTAACTGGGTTTGTGGTATGCTTATGTTTGCGATAGCATTTGCAGAGATGGCAACAAGCCCTGGAAATGCCAAATATATAAATGTGATGTTATACTACTCGAGCAGACTGGTGATAACTGGTAGAGAAACTCTGGAATTGGTGGCCAGGGAGGGGTGCAGAGGGATGTTCCCCTGGGATAAGAGTATGAAGAGTAAGGGCTTGGGCTGCCGGAAGGTTGGGTATGAGTTTAATTGGGTATAACTACAGTCTAGGAAGAATTTGGAGAAAGAACAAGACACCTCAGGTAGGCACTCCCTTGGGCCAACTTGGCCTTGACTTGTTCCGTTTCTCACTTGAGGCCTGAGCTCCTCCAACAGAAGATTTGGTAAAGAGACATGGGCTAGTGGTCAGAGCTTTTGTTCCTAACTGTGGGCTTCCATCCTGGGAAAGATGGGTCCTGTCAGCCAAGGGAGGGCTAGTCCAGTGAAATATGGGCTGCCTTCATACCTGTCCTTAAAAATGAATTACATGAAGGGCTGGGTTTGTAGCTCAGTGGTAGAGCACTTGCCTTGGACATATAAGGCCCTGGATTCAATCCTCAGCACCACATAAAAATAAATAAATAAATAAAGATATTGTGGCCATCTACAACTAAAAAAAAGAAAGAAAGAAAGAAAAGAATACAGGAGCAAATGTCCTGGCACTAAAAGTTCAGGATTTAGGGCTGGGGATGTGGCTCAAGCGGTAGCGCGCTCGCCTGGCATGCGTGCGACCCGGGTTCGATCCTCAGCACCACATACCAACAAAAATGTTTTGTCCGCCGAGAACTAAAAAAATAAATATTAAAAATTCTCTCTCTCTCTCTCTCTCCTCTCTCACTCTCTCTTTAAAAAAAAAAAAAAGATTAAAAAAAAAAAAGTTCAGGATTTAGAAGCAGTTCTTCAGAAACTAAGTTTCCCATCCAGATATGATTGAGATATGGTTTTGTCTCAGCCCCATAGGCCACATGCTGTAATCTATTTGTGCCTCAGTTTCCTCATCTGTAAGGAGACTGAAGGACATAAGACACATGTTTAGTCATCAAGTACCTGGTATGATGGTGATTTTTCTACTCATTTGAGGGTAGTTTTCTCACTTGCCACCCCCCCCCATCAACTTCCTTTGGGGTTCATCCTCAAGGACCCTTCTTGCTTGCTTTCCTTTCTCTGCCACTTCACTTTATCTCACATGTGGGAAGCAGGTAGAGCCACAGCCTCAGGGAAGCCCTATGGATAAGGACTGAGAGGAGAGAGAGGAAAGGGCCAGAATCTGGAAGAGGAAAGATATCTTTAGCCAAGCCTGAGGTGGTGCAGGCATGTGGTGAGCATGGCTTACTAGACCAATGGGTTGGTTAAGGGGCCCATCAGGTTGAGGAAGGCCTGGCGTTAGAAGCCCTCAGCATCTGTGGGCATTCAAACTGGCTGAGAAATTTTGTTTAGGCATTGAGGATGATGGCTTTGTCAGCCAAATAGTAGGATTAGACTGTCCAACCTTAAAGCCTGAGGTGGCAGGTATCAGCAGAGTAGGAGACTGAACGGAACCTAGGAAAGTGGCATCTCAGGAGTTTTGAAGAACTCAGCATTGACTGCACCAGTAGGGCAGGGTCTTGGGAGCCAGCCTGAAATAACATGAATACTGTAGGTAGAAAGAGAAGTTGAGAGTCCCTTCCCCATCTGTAAAATGAGAGAGGTTGGTCCACAATATTCAAATTCTCCAGCTTAGACATTCTTGGATGTACTTTCAGGGGCATTTCTAGATTCCAGACAGGGCTTGTATTCTAAAGCCAAATAGATTCCTTTTGTCCTACCAAGTCGATGGGAAAGGAGGTGGGAACATGTGAGCCTGATGGGGCAAGGAGAATGTTGGCAACTTCTCTGCTCTATGACTTTTCTGTCCCCGTCCCCCCACCCCACCCTGCATATGCGGGAGCCCTGAACAGCCAAAAGAGGGTGGTTTTCCCCCCACACCAGTTTCCATCTCCCTTCTGGGAACAGCACTACCCACCCTCCAGATGTCCCTACCACACCTCCCCACTGTCCTTTGACCCTCTTCCTTCTCTGCCAGACTCTGGTGATATCACAGGCAGGTGGTGGTGGGAGGCATTGGGGGTGTGTGGTTGGGGATAGGTCTCAAGAATTTCCCTCTGTCCCTAGAACTGAGCAATGGGTTGATTCCTCCTCCATGGCCAGAAGAAAGATCCACAGCTTAGCAGTTGGCAAAAAAGACTATATATTTAAAAAAATAAAAGTCTGCCTTGTGCCTTCTTCCCAGATTTTGTTGACTGAAGAGTTTGTAGAGAAAATGTTGGAGGACTTAGAAGATTTGACTTCTCCAGAGGAAGTAAGCCTGTTTGATTTCTCTCTCATGGTGGGGCTGTTCTCCAGGTGTGTGTCTACATGTCTGCATCTGCAGGCTGCTCTCTGAGGTGCTGGGATAGGCTAAGAAGTGCCCCCAGGAATGTTAAATGGCTTCATTTCTCTTCTGTTTCCATAAACCACCACCATCCCCTGCTCCACCCCCCGCCCTTATGAGGACACCCAGCAAATTGTCTGAATTGCCAGCTCTTAAGAACCTCATTGAAGAGGCAGCCAGGGCCTTCAGGCCAGTACGAGTTCTCCCTAGCCCCTGCTGTTCCCTGGCAGGTTCTGAACAGAAAGCCCATTCTGCTGCCAGAGAACATTCCACTAGGGAGTTCTGGTGGGCAGCAAAGGACTACTGCTCTCGCCTTGGGCCACCCAGGAGCCACTCTTCCTTCTTCCTTTCTTCAGCTCTCCCCTCTTAGTCACCTCTTCCAGGCTAGCTCAGAGTCTGAGGAGCTGGCAGGCCAGGGGGCGGTTATGCCTTCCCTTGAGTACTTCTATGGGATACAGGAATGGAGTCCATAATCCCCTTTGTTTTTCTTCCTTGTTCCCAGCATCTTCATTTGTGGGACTTACCTCATCCTGGAAAGTCCCTTCCCCTCCCCCTGCCTCCTACTAACCAGTACCCCAGCGGGACCTGAGTCTTCCTGGCCTGAATGCCTGATGGGCTAGTGGAACATTAGCAAGCTGCCCAGGCCTCTGGAGAGCTCTTCTTGGCCCTCCCTTCCCTGTGGCAGAGACAGACCCTTCCCTTGCCCTGTCTTCCAGGAAATGTGTTTGGGGGAGAGCTCTTTTACTTCCCAAGGGCTAGGCTTTTAAGCTAGAGGGAGGCAAGGCAGGACCTTTCAGCTGCCAGGGCTCCCAGGGGCACATAGGCAGGATATAGAGGCCTCTGATGTTCGTGAGACTTTAAATGCTCAAGGTGGGCTATCCTGGATGGGTCTCTGGGTGGACAGGAGAGCCATTTACCCCAATAAGGCATTGTCTTCTCTATCCTCTGGGATACAGTTTTGATAAATAATATACATTCCAAAGTCATCAAGCACTCAATTGGTGCCAACTGATCAACTCCCATAAGTCACTGATCTCTGAGGCCTGGCTTCCCATTCAGTCAGGCCAGAGCCAGCTGCCCAGAAGTGCTTCCGGAGAGGCCTTGTCACACTGGGGTGGCGCTGTGCCAGGCTGCTGCTTTAAGCTTGGGTGTTGAAGGGGTGGGAGAGGGACAGTCCAGGCAAAAGGGATAGGAGCCAGGGGAGCTTAGGAAAGTAGGTCACTAAAAATGACTTTTTTTTTTTTCTTTTTTTCTTTCCTGTCCAAAGGCTATCCCCACACCCTGCCCCACTCTCTACTTTGTCCTGGCATGGACAGTCCCTCATCCAGAGGGAGGGCAGAAGGAGCCAGCCAGGAAGCATCAGGGCCTGTTCACCTCCAGCCCAGCTCCAGACAGGCTGAGAGCAGTTTTCTTCTTTTCATCGTGGCCCTAACTTGTGGCCTAGCTCCAGGACAGTCAGACTCATAAAAGACAGACCCTGCTTCCAAGCTCCAGTATTAGCCCAAGTCAGTGAACATTCATTGAGCACCAACGGTGTGTCAATCTACATGCAAGGTCCTAAAATCCAGAAAAAATGAGATGTCAGCTTCTTCTCTTCCCTACCATAAGCCCCCATGTAAGCAGAAGCAGAAGAAACAACACAAACTGATCATTTATTTCTGGGGCAGGATCAGAAGACCCTGTCTCTTCTCAGCCACCACTCTGAGCTAGGGACCATGGGAAGTGCATGAAAATGAACCAGGGAGAGCAGCATGGGGATTTATTCCTTCTGAGAATGCACCAAGCTCAAACCACACTGATCCTGCTACTTTGGATCTGAACTAGGGCCTCCTTCCCTTTGGACCCTTTGGCAAAGGTATGAAGGACAAGTTTCAGGGTCCTGTGCACACCAGTCTTGAAAAGAGGCCATGGCAATGATAGACCTCAAGCCACTTTCCTGTAGCATCCGCACCCTGCTCTGGCCTGTCGTGTGCCAGCCTCAGGGCCTCAGGGAGCAGATTCCATACATGCTTGTGGCTGGAGGCAGAACCAAGGAAGTAAGCAGGAGCGAGATCAGCATAGTTAAAAAAGAGCAGGGAAATATACCTCCTCCAACCTGATTAGTTATTGGCAGGGCAAGGGGAAAGAAGAGACGAGGGAATTTCAGCAACTTTACCCCAGGTGCCCACCTGGGTCTAGCATTTGAGAATGAAGCTGGTATCCAGTGACCTGTCTTTCCCCTAGCACCCCAGAGATAGTGCCTGGACAAGCATCCTGCCTCTCTCTTGGTCTCCTTCACTGCTAATCACATGTACTCTGGGTCTGTGCTTGCTTCCTCCACAGTTCAAACTTCCCAAAGAGTACAGCTGGCCTGAAAAGAAGCTCAAAGTCTCCATCCTCCCGGATGTGGTGTTCGACAGTCCTCTGCACTAGCCTGGGCTAGGCCCTGCAGGGGCCAAGGGGAGCCCGGCTGCTCTCTAGTGACTTCCGGTATAACAACTGCATAAGGGAGATTCCCACAAATTAAAAGGACAAGTGTAAGGACAACTGTGCGACTCCCATGTATGGCCACAGGCCCCTGCCTCACCTCCAGCTCAGGGGCCTCGCCCTCCAGCCAGCCAAGTCCACGTAACCAGGCCCTCATCCCACTGGGCCAGTGAGTGGGCACATGTAAACCCTCTCCACCCCTGGCACCACAGGTTCTGGTTTGAGATTTGACTCTGGACCCTTGATGTGCCCTTGGGTGGAGATAGGCTTTGTCCTCACCTACCCCTGCCACTCAGCCCAGTGTGGAGTACACATGGGTGGCTGCCCAGTTCAATTCCATACGTCTTTGCTCCTGGAGCTGCTCCAGTCATGGAATGATTCCTACATTTGATTTTCTTCTTTATTTTGTAGAAACCGAATGGTATTTTATTGTGTGGCAAAGATGTCCAGAAGCCGTCTGTATAATGTTTTTTAAGCAGAACTTTATTCCCAGATGAACTTTCCCATTCTCTCAAACAGGGGCCTCTGTCTGCCCCTGTACTTCTCCCGGAGAAGGATTCCAGGTCCTGGAGCAGTCCCTGCTTCCCAGAGGAACTTTTCTTCCCATCTGGGCCGGAGGAACCTGGATACTCTCCATACAGCCTTGAGCCCAGTGTAGCTGGTGCCAGGAAGCAGTACTGCTGCTGTTTTCCAAGTGAACTGGGCTCCCACAAGGTTCAGGAGTCATTAGGAACTCAAAGATACTGGTGGCCCCAGTCTCAACTTCCAGGCCTTTCCCACTCAACCAGGCCTGCCATCAATTTGTTATCCTGCCATCCCAACCATTGCACACCTCACAGACCATCCCCACCTGCTACTCAGGGCCTAGGTCTTCAGCTCTTTGACCACCCCTGTCCCCTTTCCTCATCCCCTAGGCTTGCCAGCACCCAGGCTACAGTACTCTGGCTTATTAAAAATTGAAAAGTCAACCTTTCACCATTTCTTTCACTTTGATTTTGTCTGTACTGCTCTCTGCCAGCTCCCCACCTCCACCCACCCCACCCCAGTCTTCCCTGCATCCATTATTTTCTTGTTTTTCATTCCCTGTTCCTTGTCCTGTCTCCTTTCTTACATCCTGGCCTCCTTTTTTTTTGGGGGGGGGTGTTCCGGGGATTGAACTCAGGGGCACTTCACCACTGAGCCACATCCCCAGCCCTATTTTGTATTTTATTTAGAGACAGGGTCTCACCGAGTTGCTAAGTGCCTCACTTTTGCTGAGGCTGGCTTTGAACATGCAATCCTCCTGCCTCAGCCTCCCAAGCTGCTGGAATTACAGGCATGTGCCACCACGCCCAGCACATCATGGACTCTGTGGTCCTTGGTCCCTCAACCCTAGTACTACAGATCGCACATTTTGCCTTCTAGAAGCCAACCTGTCTTTGACCCAAAGTTTTAGAGTTAACTCTTGAGTTATCTCCCACTTCTTACCTGAAATTAGAAAACCCCTTTCCTGTCTTCTTAGCCTCCAACTCCAGGGGGCTACTTCAAAATCACCCTTCGACCTCTCCAAAGCAAGTCATTCTGTTTGTCAAGGACCATGAAGGGCTTTTCCCTGGCTCTGTTCACCTCCACCACCTACATGGGCACCCACCAGGAAGCATCAGGAGGCCCATAGGGTACATAATCCCTCTGATGAGATAACCAGCCTCCGAGAGCTGCCTCCAAAGTCATGAGGATGCTGGCTAGAGTCTCCAAGGAACTTTGGACTTCCAAGGGTCCACCTAGGCCCAAACCCTCTGTACAACTCCAGGGTTATCCTATTAATGTCAAGGCAGATAGCCTGGAGCATGTGGGAGAGACTGGCCTCAGGCCTTCAAGCCAAGAAGCAGCCTGCTGCCCTGAGAACTTTCCCTGAAGGATGCTGGATGATCTTCATCCACCATGGCAGCCCCACCTTTGAAGATCTTGTCTTCTGACATTTCATGGGCAGAGAGGTGCCATCAATTTGTTATCCTGCCATCCAAACCAGCATCTCCCCAAGTTCTCCCTTCCTTGGAGCTGCCTAAGGGATCCCTACCTCTATCTGCCTGCTTTGTGGGAAAAGGTACATTTTCTGAGCTTATTTTGTCATCAGTCCATGAAACATCTGGTCAACAACTTGCCCCAGACCTGCAGGACCTTTACAAACTGAATGATAGCATCATCTGCTTGGTGGCCCTGAGCTTGGGAAGTTGGGAATGGTAGGAGGGAACAGGAAAGTACTGAGTGATAAGCCCAGGAAGCCTGGGGCCCCTTTTCTGCCCCCACCACCTTGGGAGCCTCATGAACATCCAAGATCCTGCTGGTGCTGAGCACCCATTATTTCTCTACAGAACCTTGGCTCCAGGAGAGTGATAAGGCCTCAGCCATCTCTCATCTGGTCTTTCCCATGGATTCTGAGGTTTCTCAGGGAGGAGGCTCTCCAGTGAGCTCCTGGTTGGTGAGAGGGGATCCTGACAGGATCAAGCTAGACTGACCTTGTATGATGCCCAGCACAGCTTCCAGCACATGGTGGGTACTCAGTAAATGAACCCCTTCTTTCCCTCCTTGAAGCTATATGGATCAAGGAGGCAGGGACTCTCTGTCTCCCTCTGTCTGCCCCTTCTTCAGGCTTGCCCAGTCCTACCCTATCTTTCCAGGTCCCTGGTACTAAAGCTTCAGAGAAGAAGGGGCTCCCTACTTGCTGTACCTGCTGCTGTCTAAGGCAGACTCCTGTGGCTGTTAAGGTCCAATATGGCTGCAAGAGGATGGCTGCCATTCTGAGGGGGCAGGGAAACTCCTGCAAGGTCTCTGGCCTGGCAGGGATGTTGGTGCCTCCTATTCTTCCATGGGCAAGGCTCTAGGGCAGGAACTAAGAAGCCTTGGGGTGAGTCTAAAAGGGCTAGAGAATTCTTAAAACCAGACTCAAGGTCTTGGGATGGTTTCTGAGATTGAGTTGAAAAGGGAGAGAAAAACTGAAGGTTGGTGCCCCTATGGGGCAGACCAGTGGAACTCCCTGGACTATTTTTTTATGTGATCTTCCCTCTCTGCCTTCCAGGACCCGTATGCCATGTGAGGTGCCTGGGTCCCTGTACAAGTCAGGAGCCCTGTAGGAAGACCCCTCCTTTTGTACAAGTACCTGAATGCTGCAAGAAGCAGACTTTTGTAAAATTTTATATTAGTTTTTTTAATGTCAGTGGCGACTCGGTTCCTGGAGCTGCAGCCAGCCTGGGGCTTTTGTAAGAATTTTTGAGTGACTCACTTAGATGACGTCGTTCCTTCTTGCCCCTCTTCCTCTGTGTAATCTAAGTGCATTAAACATATTTGCAGAAGCGCCTGAGTCGTGTGCTCCTTTCTGGCTGCCTGGAGTAGTGGAGCAGAAAGCCTGGTGCCCAGGTAGGGGAAGACCTAAGGAGTATTGTTGGGAGTGCAGAGGGTGCAAGGCATGGGGTCGCCTAACTGGTGACTCTACAGTCATGCAGAAAAGTGCTGGGATAGGCTTTCCCTCACGGGTCTTGATTTTTCTAAGGTCACAGGGTTGGAGTGAGGAACCCAGTCTGAGGTGAGTGGGTGGGACCTTCTCTCTGCCACTTCCTTATTCTTCTCACCAATCCCTGCATCCCCTTTAGAAGAGGGGCCCAACAGGTGGGGAAGGTGGTACTTCCTCACCTCCAGTTTGAAAGTCCTGTTCCATCTTCCAGCTAACTATTCCCCTCATCAAATTCAACCTCCTTACCTAGGTCTAGGTTCAGGGCATCTCAAAACCAGCTGCACTCATGGGTGGATACAGGCCAGCCCACACTTGTTACCAAGTCTTCTAGACCTGGGCTAGGTGGATGTATCTTCCTTCCTTGGACTGCCCTGTAACTACTACCTCTCCAGGACCCATGCTGGGGGGCCCAGGGAAGCAACAGCCTAGAGTCCTAGGCAGACAAGGTGGTGTCTGCATCCAGACAGAGTTCTGAAACCTGTGAGATCGCCCAGGACCTCACACTTTTTTTTTTTTTTTTTTTTTTGATACCAGGGATTGAACCCTGGAGATGCTCAACCACTAAACTACAAACCCAACCATTGTTTTTTTTGTGGTGCTGAGGATCGAACCCAGGCCGCGCACATGCCAGGCGAGCGCACCACTGCTTGAGCCACATCCCCAGCCCCTAGACCTGATTTTCTCTCTTGGGAATTGACAGGGCTTTTTCTTCTGGTCCTCAGGATGGGCTGCAGAACCCAGGGCTAGGACAGGCAAGGAGAGGGGGTTGTCAGTTCTTGTGTAAGAACTCTTAGTTCTTATCATCCTTTATGAGCCCCAGCTGCTTGGGGGGACTTCTAGGAGGAGATCAGTACCCCTTCTTCCCCTGTGACCTCTTATTGAACTCTGGCAAGGGGCTGGCCCCTGGCACGTAGGGGTAGGTCCTATATGAGCCTCAATCCCTCTGGTGGCCAGAAGAAGGGAGCTAGGAGCATGTGAAGCCAGGCTGACAACCACAGGATGATCAGTTTGTGTCCCTTCCCCTAGCTCCCTGGAGATGGGGGCACTTACTTCACCCTCCTCATCTGACTGGCCTCGAAAGACCCAGGGTCAGGGTGAGGTTCTTGCCCCAAAGAATGCAGAATAGTGGGCTGGGATTGTGGCTCAGCGGTAGAACACTCACCTACCATGTGTGAGGCCCTGGGTTCAGTCCTCAGCACCACATAAAAATAAATAAAGATATTGTGTCAAACTACAACTAAAAAATGCAGAATAGTGGGCTGGGGATTTGGCTCAAGCAGTAGTGCGCTCGCCTGGCATGCGTGCGGCCTGGGTTCGATCCTCAGCACCACATACCAACAAAGATGTTGTGTTCGCCGAGAACTAAAAAATAAATATTAAAAATTCTCTCTCTTTCTCTCCTCTCTCACCTCTCTTTAAAAAAAAAAAAAAAAAAAAAGCAGAATAGTGATACCCTGTACTTAGGTGGCTCTGGGAGACTGTACCGGCTGAGGTTGTTTTCTGGAAAGAGAAGGGCTCCTGGGCCTACACCAAATTCTCTTGAGCAGAAAATCTTTTTTTGCTCAAGAGAATTTTTTTTTTCTTTTTTTCTTTTTAGTACTGAGGTTCAACCCAGAGCCTCACAAGTGCTAGGCAAGTGCTCTGCATCCTCAGCCCTGCCATGTGATTTTTAATGCTCCTTCAGAAAGGCTGTTTTATTCTGCCGGGTATCTGCTTTGCCTTATCTGGGGAGGGGGGATATATGCCCCAGGACCATGGGGCTGGATGGCCTGAGAGATCTGCCAGACTGTCTTGACTAGAAGGAGAATGCAAGCTGGGAGTGACTCAGGCCAGCCTGCCAGGCACCAAGGCAGCTGCAGACCACAGAGAGGGAGGAAGGAGGTGGGGAGAACAAGATGGGAATGAGGGGATGATTTGATTTGCTAGCAGGAAAAGGGACTGTATCGGCAGTGCAGGATGTAGTTTACAAAGGGCAACCATCTACAGGCCCCTTCTGGGGACATGCTGGGATTGACCCGGTCCTCTTCCCCTTCTGCGCAGCTTTCTATCCTTCTGTCCTACTTCTACCACTTAGTTACCAATGTGACTTCAAGTTAACTAAGTTATGCCTCAGTTTCTTCACCTACAATGGATATTTGCCTCACAGAGCTTTTGAAAGGATCATATGAAACAACAGACATGAGATGTCTGGTATCTACACCAGTCTGGGGAGATTAAAAGGCTTCCTGAAAGAAGTGACATCTAAATTAAAATCTTAGGAACATCCATGGATGACTCAAACAAAAGAGGTGGGGATTTTACTTTCAAAAGCTCTCCAGGCAGACAGAACAACAAGAGTAAATGCCTCAACACTCTTGGGAACTATTTGGTTCAAATTGTTGAACCAATTGAGTATATGGCTTAAGGCATCAAACTCATTTTAGAATCATGCCACTGCCTACTGGATGGACAATGTTTTAAAAGGGAGTAAGAATGGAGGCAAAGTGACCAGTCAAACATGGCTTAAGTAGAAGAGTAGGATGGACAGAGTAGGATTCATTCATTGAGCATCTTCTATGCTATGTCTCATTCTAGAAGCTAGGAATATAGCATTAAAGAAAATCCCTCCTGGGATGGGGTTGTAACTCAGTGGTAGAGTGCTTGCCTCGAATGCATGAGGCACTGGATTTGATCCTCATCACCACATAAATAAGTAAAATAAAGATATTATGGGGCTGGGGATGTGGCTCAAGCGGTAGCGCGCTCGCCTGACATGCGTGCGGCCCGGGTTCGATCCTCAGCACCACATACCAACAAAGATGTTGTGTCCGCCGAGAACTAAACAATAAAACATTAAAAATTCTCTCTCTCTCTCTCTCCTCTCTCACTCTCTCTTTAAAAAAAAAAAAAGATATTATGTTCATCTACAACTAAAAATTTTTTTTAAAAAAAAGAAAATCACTCCTTTTACATTTTATGAGGAGAGATAATAATTGTTAAAGGTATAATACATAGTACATGATACTCTGTGGAAAAAAGCAGAGGGGGAGGAATAATGAGAGCTCTCATTATTTGACTTACATTATTTATTTATTACTCAATTAAGCACTCAGTTCTTTTTTTTTTTTAAGTATTTTATTAGTTGTTGTTGGATCTTTATTTTTATGTGGTGCTAGGCAAGCACTGTACCTCTGAGCCACAACCCCAGCCCTACTCAGTTGTTCTTTTTTTTTTTTTTAAAGAAAGAGGAGAGAGGGAGAGAGAGAAATTTTTTTTAAATATTTATTTTTCAGTTCTCCGCAGACACAACATCTTCGTTTGTACGTGGTGCTGAGGATCAAACCCCGGCCAGATGCCTGCCAGGCGAGCGCACTACTGCTTGAGCCACATCCCCAGCCCCCTCAGTTGTTCTTTGGGAAAACTATTTAGGACCTACTAAAATAAAGCAAGCAATAGACAGTGATGAAATGTATTTTTACAAAAAGTCTATTTTTAAATAGATCAGGGAAGGCCTGATTACATAGGTAACATTTGAACAAAGGACCGCAATGACAGGAAGAGTTGAACTATAGAGCAATCTGGAGGAAGAAAGGGCTTCACAAAGTGAAGAATAACCACAAAGACTAAAAAGGAACACATCAGGTATGTTTGAGGAACAACAGGGAAGCCAAGGTGACAGGAGCAGAAGGAAAGGGGAGTTAATAGGAAATGAGACCAGATGGTTACCCACAGGTGAGATTGTGTGGGGCTTTATAGGCAATTATAAAACTTCAACTTTCATTCTTGGAAGCTATTAGAAGATTTCAAGCAGAGGAGTGATGTGATTTGACTTACATTATTTATTTATTTATTATTACTCAATTAAGCACTCAGTTGTTTTTTAGTGAACACATGCCGCTACTCTCATGCTAGGAGATGGATACAGGCCCTGCCTGAAGGAGCGCATGGTACAATAGGGAAATATAAGGAAACAGACCCAGAAAGAGCCGTGAAAGATGAATGTATTTATAAATAAAATTATTATTTATTAGCTAATTTGTTCATTATTAATAAATAGTGGAGTCTCACCATGTTACCCAGACTGTCTCGGAAGTGATGGGCTCAAGTGATTCTCCCTTTCAAGACTCCAGAGTAACTGGGACTACAGGCACATATCACCACTCCTGGCTGCTGACATATTTTTATAATTTTTTTTTTTTAGTTGTAGATGGACACAATACCTTTATTTTACTCATTTACTTTTATATGATACTCAGGATGGAATCCCATGCCCCCACGTGCTAGGCAAGTGCTCTGCCTCTGAGCTACAGCCCCAGCACCTGCTGACATATTTTTAAAAGATTATTCTGGGGCTGGGGGTGTGGCTCAAGAGGTAGCGTGGCATGCGTGCGGCCCAGGTTCGATCCTCAGCACCACATACAAACAAAGATGTTGTGTCCCCCGAAAACTAAAAAATAAATATTAAAGAATCTCTCTCTCTCTTTAAAAAAAATATAAATAAATAAAAGATTATTCTGACTACGTTGTTGAGAATTCACTCCTGGAGGTAAGGACAGAAACAGGGAAGCCAGTAATGGAGATGTTAAGAAGTAGTCAAGGATGACTGGAGCAGAAATAGTAAATTTTGGACACTTTCAGTCTGAGATGCTTGTACCTTCAAGTGAAGATGTCAAGATGAGCAATTAGTATATGAGTATATAGATATTTAAGAGTAAGATCTATCTACAGGACCTGATACTGATCAATTAGATAAAATAGATGAGGAACAAAAAAATGTTCAGGTTGTCTCCCTGATCCTTGGCTTAGTAACAACTAAATAGTTGATGGATCCATCCACTGACTGAGATTGGGAATCTCAGAGGGA